ACCTTTTTGATACTGGATATTTCATATCTCTGAAAAATCTCCTAAGCTAGTTTGGAAGAAAGTTACATTAATTATTTCATATCTTGCTTTTGTGCTTTGTTAGGTAGGATCAATGCATCACTAATTTAATCAAGGCTCATTTTATCCTATGACTAAGACAAGACTCTTCTTAATATCATACTTTGAGCAATTTCTTGTGAAACATGCAGTTTTCTACTCTGGCTATGGGAAACTGCTACTTTTCCTAGCATCATAGGGTCTCCAGGCATTATTCTTTGAAATTCTTTTTCTTGGTTGTTTCCTTGGTATTGTATTAAGAAATTTCATTGCATGAATGGGCTGACAAATATTCAACTGAATACCATACTTGTGGAAGATGTATTCTACACTGTTCTCTCTCTGTGTAGCTCTGTCTTTTCCATTAGTTTGCCTTGTGGCCTCTGGGCTCCTTGTCTTTGCTAACTTACATCTTACCTCAGCAAATCCACTCCAGCTGTACTTGAATTCTTCTCTGTTCTCACCTTCCTGTGTCATGTTTTGGAAACTTCCAAGCAATAAGCTAAAAAAATTGAAGAGCTCATCTCCTTTGTTGCTCAGTAAATTAATAAGTTTATTTTGATATATTGAATGAATAAGGCAAGCCTAAATCATTATCACAAACATTGCATTATGTATGTGAAATATCTCAAAATTGACATTTAAATTACATGATGCTGTATTGTGCTAACTTTTGTGGGTATATTTCACATTGTAAATTATAGAAATTTACACCTATTTGTTTGTGCTTTTGAAAACATTGTCTTATGTTTTTCTTCTTTTCCTGATTATACAGTAATCTCTAAAACATCTTAAAATAATGATAGGTTTCTTATGAGGTATAATAATTTCTTGAATTCATAGAACTTTAAATAAAAATTGCTTTGATACCTCTAATTATTTCATTGAATAGAAATAGATTTTCCTAAAATATTTTTGCAAGAATAAAACATTAATACTATTTATTACTTTTTTTAACCATCCATTTGCCACTTAAGTTATTTTTACTGGTAAACCCCAAAATAATGTGCATGTGACTCTTGTTAAATTATAATTTGTGGAAGTAGAAATAATATTTTCCTGCTATTAATAGCACCATTTATTAGGTAGAAGAAATCTTATAATTACTCTCATTTGAAATATGAAATTTTATGAGGAAGAGAGCAATGATTTGGTGGGAAAAGAACAGCCTTTTGAGGAACTGGTGTACAAAAATGTTAAGAGGCGAAAAGGAAATAAGGGTTTTTGTGAATCACAATATTTAAGACATGTAGCTTCCTGTTAAACAGTCACCCTGTTCCTCCACAATATGTAGTTTTATTTCCAGATGCCAGCTAGGAAAAGAAGAACTCATAATTGGGAAATAGATGGAGTGGCAGAAGCTGCCAGAGGCTGAGAATGTGTCTTACAGGGTCCAGCACTGCCTGGGGCTGGTCGGCTCCCAGCACAGCAGGATTCAGTCCTGACCCCGGAGGGGAGACCCAGAGCCTGCAGCCCATCTCAGTCCACACCACCACTGCCATCTAACGAAGACCCTGGCCAAGAGTCAGGCAGGCTGCTGGCTTTCTGTTTCAAAGTACACTTCACAGATAATTCACCAAAATAATATCACCACCCAAATCTGAATGCAAATAAGCAGCATTAAAAATTCTCCCTAAATGCATTGGACAAGTGATGTATAGATGAAACAATTTAAAGTATAAACACATAGCATTGCTTTGGCATCATGCTCGGGTTCTCTGGATTTATAACTCCTGAATTGAACACCAACAATAACCTCTGGAAAGGGAGTGGCAGGGAGGATGAAGGGTTTTGTTCACTGATGAAGGGGGTTAGGGCTCCACTGCGTAGCTTCCAATTGGTCTATATTTGTGGACAAAGTTCCCTGCTGTGAGGTGCCCTTCTCTTTTGGTGGGCTCAAAGCCAGGACACCCTCTTCTGTGCTTCTAGCACTGATATTTGATTTTACAAAACTAGGTGTGATTCAGAAAGAAACAAGAAAAAAATAAATGCAGATATCCATTATAAAGAACTCATTCATATATTTTTTTTAAATTATGAGTTTCTTATAGAGACTGTAAATGAAGGAAATATCACATAATGTTAAACCTTGAATAAAATGCTTTGAGACTATTAATTATCTCAAAAAGTAATTAGTTTCTCAAGTTATGTCGTTTTGATTTCAAATATTTGCTCAGAGGCAGAATTTCTTGAAAACCTGACTGGCTTTATTTTTACCCTCCTTTTGAGCATGACATAAACTACAGCTTAAATATTTAAATTGCTGTAGAGGTAATTGTGATATAAATATATTTAAATGTAAGTCCCTAAATGAGGTTGAGCCTTTCTCAGTAGATTGAGAAAATAAAAAGATGGAGAGTTGATCCCTAACCAACCTACTGGCCATCATATTCAGTGATGGTGAGCCGAGGACTCTCCAGGATGGTGAGCAGAGGTGAGTGAGGAATCACAGGTCACTCGCCCTGCAGGGGTACATCTGAGTGACCTTCTTAGCAACAGGCTCACAACACTTTGGTCCTTGGCTGCACCCTTTCTAGACTGGAATTTATCCATCCACTTCCATCTCATGCCATGCTTCTCACTGTGCTCCAGCTGTATTATCTCCAAATTCTTTAAGTAGGCCATGCCCTTTCTGCTTTGTTAATTTACCAGGACACAGCAATACAAATCCTTCCTCTTTCTTCTCCTAGCTAATGGTACTCCTCCTTTGAATCTAAAGTCACATCTCACTTTCTTAAGGAAAAGTTGTCCTTCTTAAGGAAGCTGTCATCCCCAACACACACGTACAGATTAAATTAAACTCTCCAGCCCACTCTCATTATTGTAGTATCCACTTCTTTAACCTGATAGGATTTGTAATTCTTCTTCAGTGTCTTTTTTTCTGCATAAATATGTAACATCATAAGGGCATGAAATAGTGAAATGAGTCTTGTTCTTGACTGAATTCATAGCAGAGATCATGGTGACTGCTATATTAAAGAAGAAAAGAAGGAAAGAAAAACAAAGGAAGGAAGGAAAGGAGGAAGAAAAAAGGGGAAAAATGAAAAGATGGATGAAAAGAAGTAGAGAAGGAAGGAGAAAAACAACCTGTGTAAGATTTCGTCTCTAACCTAGAGGATTTAGAGGCATACAGGTATTCTCTGGTCGGGCTGTTGGGCTACACCAGTGGTGGCAAACCTATGACACACATGCTGCAGCCAGCTGCTTGTTATCACTAAATGCTCCAAAAAAGTTCACCATCACAGGGCTACACTGCACCTCCAAAGCCCGTTAGTTCTAGATTGTGTTAAGTCAGCTACACCTTCGACAGCCTTAGTCTTTTGGAAATGTTGCTCATGTGGAGATCACTGGGAAGAATCTGGGCACTGATTGGCTCCACTCAGTGGAGAACATAGGATCTCAGTGGAGCTCAGGATAAAAGGAGTGAGTGATGCTTAGTCAAATGTATTTGACCCATTTCCCTGCTCTGTGAGAAGCAAATAATACACGTCCTCTAGCACAGACTACATGGTTATGTTCCACTAACTGTAGGACACCACTGTGTGTGGAGGGATTAGATATATATTCCCTGCCAAAATGGCCTTATCATCCCCCTAGCTTTCCTAAACATTAGGTAGAATCCTTCCTGGCCATGACACCAACTCCCCTTTTCTTAGAGTATATGCTTTAGAAAGCTTGCAATTATAAATTTGTTCTCTGTCCCTTTGAGATATAAGTCTTCTTCCAGGTTCTTGCTAGCTTTGTCACTTTGCAAGGATGTCTTCCTCAAGGACCTGGGAGCCATTCCTTAGAAATGTAATAATCAAGAATGACTGCAAACCCCTATCTCTCCAACTTTGGTGGGAGCTTAGGCGACCAGTTATAGCAATGACAATTAGGAGACACATCACATTGCTCAGCTTCCTCACTCATGTCCTTCATCACTTTCCTGCTAGCTCTCCCTAGCACTTAAAATTCCTTCCATGTTTAGTCTCAGGACTGTTGACTTCAGTAGGGTTCTTTTACCAATTGCAATAATTTTTTTTTTTTTTTGGTACCGGGGATCGAATTCAGGACTTTGCCCTTGCAAGGCAGGTGGCAATTGCAATAATCTTCAATAAAGCTCCTTTCCTGTTCAACTCTGGTGCAGCTGTTTTTACTCTTAGGTTTAGCTCACATGTGCACCTGAGTTGAATCAGTGTTCCATCACTCATGGTAGATCTGAATGTTCTATAAGATGACCACATTTTAAAGCTTCTAACCCCCTGAATAAAATGTTAGTGAACTCTTATTTAGTGAGAAAGAGGATTCTTTTCCATTTGGGGTGAGATTATTTTCCATTACTGTTATTTTGCAACAGACTTAGCATAATCTCCAGCCATTTCTACGGGAGATGGGTCTGAAAAATGTCCCAGAAGCAAGTACTGTGGTTGATGTTTTCCACAGTGAAACTAATTTCCTACCACAAATAATGCCTTTCACAATAATGCTCTTGATTGCAGCTGTGAAACCTTGCTGAGATTTCATTTTGCAGTTCTTAAGTGCCTAGCTTTTATTTTTATGGCTAGGATAGTGATTGATAGGCTTTGTGATTTAGTGGTAAAGAGAACTGGAAACCACCTTGCCTGGATCCAAGGCTTCAGCAAGACTTTAGCTAGTTGATAAACATTATCATTCACAGGAAAATGAATAGCACAGAATCTGAGGTTTAGCGAATCTCCATAAGCTTTAGTTGTTATAATTGTCATGATTTTCATCACTGTCTTCACTACTATGAAGAACAAACAAGCAGGATGTTCTATTCTCACAACATTCTCCCAGAAAGAGAAACGTTGATGGGTAGCAGTGCTGGCTTAAAACAGACTTTAACCTTTTCTGGGTTGTTTCATTCATATCTAACTCTGAGTTCTATTTGTGAGACATTTGTCTTTCTCTCTCCTTCCCCTGATCCCTGTATTTTTCAGTGATGGATGGGCAGACAGAGATGAAGTCATTGAAGGTTATGAGGTGGAAGCCAACGGGGGAATCACGATAAAGCTTCAGTCGCCAGAGGTCAGGTCATTTGATGATTATTTCCTGAAGCTAAGGCTGGATACAAATACGAGGAATCCTTGGTTCCCCGAGTTCTGGCAACACCGGTTCCAGTGCCGCCTTCCAGGACACCTTCTGGAAAATCCTAACTTTAAAAGAATTTGCACAGGTAATTCTTATTCACATAATAACAACTATGCTAGGGCTGAAGATCTAAAAAGATAATATAGCCCTCTTAATAAAATAGAATGAAGTAAAAGTGTGTTTTCCTTCAGAGAGTCACTTTCTTGTATTCTAAAAAATCTGCTTTAGTCTCTAGTGGGACAAGCGATAAAGAGATAACATAAGTAGGTGCAAAGAAAATTGAGAAGCCAGATATCTGTTATTCAAGCCAGAAAGGAGATTTTATTTCATCGTGTAAGTATGTAGAAGATACTAGCCACAGACATAAGTAAGCCACGCTGGCTTGGTTCTTTTTTCCTTTTGTGAGTTGCTTTAATTTACAAGTCTGGGAAAGATGAGGTATACTGTCTTAGACGGCCCCATCAAAATGGTGTTTGTGGACAAAGATGCCAAGATATCTGTCAACCAGAATAATGGCCCCCACCAGACAGATCCTTCCTGGGCGCTGCTCACTCATACCACACCCAGAAGGGGCAGTGCGTTATTCCACGGTGTTCGGGGACTTAGGGAACTCCACAGGCTACCCCTAACTCCCACCTCAGACTTCTTTTTTTCCCTTAAATTCTTTTGTTGGTACATTTTAGGTATACACTACGTTTACATTTATCATTGGATGCTTGTACCTGTACATGATATATCTTGGTTCTCATTTTTTCCCCATTACCTGTGCGCTCTTCACCCCCTCCACCCTTCCCTATTTACATAGACTTTCATTCCATTTTTTTTCTTTTCTCATAATTGTTCCTTTCCCTAGAAGCCACAGGGAGGCTTTCTAAAAGCCTAGATTGAGAATAAATCCTTTCCCTTCTTTCCTCCCAGCACCCCCTACCACTTTGGACCTTTTCTTCCTATTTCAAATTATCAATTATTTGTTTTAATCATTTTAATCCTTATTTACACTTTCAGCTTCTCACACTAGAGAAAATATTCGGTATTTACACGTGTGTCCTATTTATTTCACTTAAGAGGATGGCCTCAATATGCATCCATTTAGCTATAAATGTCTCTGGTTTCTCACTTTTTATGGCTGAGTAGTACTCCTTTTTATTAAAAAATCACGTTTTCTTTATCCAGTTTCCAGTTGATGGCCAACTGGGCTGCTTCCAAGTTTTAGCTATTATGAACTGTGCTGCTATGAACATGGGTCCACATGTATCACTGTGGTATGATTCTTTTAATTCTTTGGAGAAGATACCCAGCAGGGGAATAGCGGGGTCAAATGGGACTTCCAGTCCTAGTTCTTTGAGGTATCTCCATACTGATTTCCACAGTGGCTGCACTCCACTTCAGACTTCTTAACATTTGTGACCATTATCATTACTTTGTAACTTTTATAAGCATTAGCTCTACATAACTTTTATGGGCATCATCATTACTACATGAGGGCATTGCTGCCCCCTTTGAGTTTTAGAATTGTCTGTGCTGCAAAGAAAGATCATCTTTGGTCTGTCATTTTACCATTTGAATCCAGTTATTCAGATTGGATTAGTGATATATTACACTGGTCTACGCACGATGATAAATTATGGACTTGTCTCATGACCTCATTCATATTGGATAACAGTGATGTGATGTTTATTTCTTGTCTAGGCTGGATTGATATTATTTAGAAGGTTCTAGAATCCATTCATTCACACTATAGCCATGTATCAAACATTGTGTACAGAAGGGGACAAAGAAATGAATAATCTATAACTCTTAATCTAGAGTAGGTTGTAGTCGCTTTGGGCAGATCCAAACACATCATGTCACACATATGAAACAGATAAATAACCAAAGAAATGAGTTTTTACCAAACAGGGTAAGAATAATGCTGATTACATAAAATACTTTGAATTTTCAGTAATATTCCTATGTTGATGATGAATCTTTTAAATACCAATAAATATAAATGCAAAAAGTATGTCTGATGTGCTAAGTTTTAGCAGCGTTCCCTGAGAAATTACTGATTGTGGATTTATTCTCAATCTAGGCTTTTAGAAATCCTCTGTGTGGCTTCTAGGGAAACAGAAATATAATCTAGGTGAGAAGAGAGAAGGAAGGGGAAATAAGTGCTAAACAACTAACCCCCTTCTGCCACATTTGTATTTCCATGGACTTCACATTTCTCTAAAGGGATAGACTCACAGAAGTCAGCAATTCCAACAAGTCATCTAGGAGAGTCTCCTTATTTGCAAAATCAAGATCTTGAGGAGGGACAGAGACAGAAATTTCCCTGGGTTCACTGAATTAATGGCAACAGTAGAATTAGAACCCACATCTTCTATATAGCACAATGACTGAATACTTTTAGACTTAGCATCTAATAATATATTACCTTTCCTCAAAGAACCCTAACAATATCAACCTCTGGGAGCCAATCAATCCTTATTAGCTAATTAATCATTTAATTTATATTTTCTTATAGTGTAGAATTTTTTCAAATTAAGGATTGTTATTTTAAAATGAATTATTTTTTAAATTCAACATTCAATAAATATTTAGTAAAAACCTAATATGTATAAGGTTTCATTCTAGACCCCTATATTTCAGTGCAAGAAAACAGTCAATAAATAACAACAAAAAATTAAGGAAAAAGTAAAGAAAATATGTGCTCTTTACTTGATCACAAAAGCCATCATGAAAGTAAAGAATGGGAATAGAGAACAGTCAGATAAAGGGATGAACAGAGAGAGCCTCAGTGAGCAGATGATGAAAGATGTGAAGACAATGAGATAAGGTTAGCAAAGACGTTTGTAAGCATAAGGCACAGCACATGAAAAGAGGCACAGGCCTGCCTGGCTTAGTTGAAGAACAGGAAGGAGGCCAGTGCTGCTGGACCCAGTGGGTGCATTAGCACTCAGAGAAAGGGAAAGGACCCAAGTAACAGGAGCAGTGACAAGGCTAGTGTGATCATTCAAGGGACAGTGGAGGATTTAGCCATGGTGGGGGAAAGAAGATGGAGGTAAGGGTTCAATGTTGCATCTATTTGGAATAAGAATCAAGGGGTTTGGTGACAGAATTGTCCAGAACGACTGATCTGAACCACTGGAAAGATGGTATCATCACTGAGTAAGGCCTGCAAGACTTAGGGAAAGGCAGCTTGCAGAAGGATGCACAGGTTAATATGGGGTAAGTTTGAGATCTCTTAGTGGCCTGTGTCACAATGTCATTGTGTTTTAAAAAAAAATTTTAGTACACATTTGCAGTACATAATATTCACATTCTTTGTGGAGAGTTGGTACATGCACATAACACATCTTAATTCTCTTTATTTTTTCTTCCTTTCCGCTCTTTTCCCCCTTCCTCCATGTCTTGGTCTCTTCTCATTTGAGAAAAATTTATCTCCCTACTTCCTATTATCTATCTTTTTGCTCTTTTTTATAGTTTCGGTTTCTCATCTAAGAGAAACCATGAAATATTTATTGTGTTTCTAATTTATTTCACCTAACATTATGGTCTCAAGGTGCAGCCATTTTCCTACAGATGACTCATGCTTATCCTTCCTTGTGGCAGAGTACTACTCCACTGTGTGTAAATGCCACATTTGCCTTATCCATTCATCTGTTGCTGGATATATAGGCTGCTTCCAAGTTTTAGCTATTGTGAATTGTGGTGCTATACACATAGGTATACATGTGTTACTGTAATACAATGCCTTTAACTCTTTGGGGAACAGATATAGAAGAGGAATAGCTGGATCAAATAGAATTTCTAGGTTTTGTTTACTGAGGAATCTTCATACTCATTTCCACAGTTTTTTTATTAGCTTACATTACATTTCCACCAGTAAAGTAGAAGGGTTCCTTTTTCCTCACAGCTTTGTCAGCATTAGTTACTATTTGATTTCTTGATGATGCCCATTCTTTCTAGAATGAGATCAAATCCTAGTGTTGTTTTAATTTGTATTTCTCTAATGGCCAGTGATACTGAATATATCCTTATCTATTTACTGGCCTTTTGTACTTCTGAGAAGTGTTCATTCATTTCAGGCTGCCCATTTTGGAAACTTTTATTTAGGGAGTCTAATTTTTTTTCTACTTTTTTATATATTCTAGATATTAGTCTCCTGTCTAAGGAATAGCTTGCAAAAATGTTTTTCCATTCTGTAGGTTACCTCTTCACACTCTTAGTTGCTTCCTTTGCTGTGAAGAAGATTTTTCATTTCATGTGATTGCATTTTTTGATTCTTGGTACTATTTCCTGTGCAACCAGGGTTCTGCTCAGAAAGTTTTTGAAGTTATATGACTTCAAGAGTTTTACCTATTTTGTCTTCCAGCAGGTTGTTTCTGCTCTAAAATTTAGATATTTGATCCATTTTAATTTTATTTTAGTGCATGATGACAGGTATGAGTCTAGACTCAATTTTCTGCATGTGGGTAGCCAGTTTTCCTAGCACCATTTATTAAAGAGGTTATCTTTCCTCAAGTGAATGTTTTTGGCCCCTTTATTAAAGGTCAAATAGTTAAATGTGTTTTGATTTTTCTTTCCTACATCCTCTATTCTGTTCCATTGCTCTACATGTATTTTTTGTGATAGTACTATTCTGTTTTTAATCACTGTAGCTTTGTAATATAACTTGAAATCTAGGATCATGATGCCTCCTGCTTTTCTCTTGTTATCTAGTATTGCTTCTGTTATTCTGGGTCTCTTCTCCTTCTACTTCTTACAGAAGGAATTGCTTCCTCTAGAATTGCTTTCTCTAGTTCTGTGAAGAATTCTGTTGGACTTTTGATTGGGTTTTCCTTATACCTATGTATCAGTTTTGGGTATGGCCATTTTGACTTCCTCCTTCTGCCTAGGTAGCCAGGAGCTACATTTCCATGTTTTGATGTCCTCTTTATCTTTTTTTCATAGTATTACAGTTTTCATTGTAGAGGTATTTCACTTCCTTAGTTAAGTCAATTCAGAAGTATTTGATTTTTCAAGAAACTATTGTAAATTTTTTTCTTGATTTTTTTTCCTCACTGAGTTCACTATGAATATACAGGAGCACTATTGATTTTT